ATGAGCAGCCAACGTGCCTCCATGGGCATATCCGCGGGGGTCGCCGGGAACATAGCCCATACAGGGGTCGGTGAGATGAAGAATAAACGAGAGGGGGAAAAGAAGGATATGCAAAACCTGAATGACAGGTTTGCTCAGTACATCTCACAGGTTCGAACCCTAGAAACCGAGAACAAAGCCCTTCGTGATGCCCTCAAGAAGAAGAGGAAAGAGTTTGATGTTGAACCTATGAAGGAAATCTATCAAACAGAAATCGACGAAACCAAAAAGTTGCTTGAAGAGGCAAATAAAGAAAATGCCGACTTAAAAGTTCAATTAGCTTCTATCGAAGATGAACTTGAGGACCAACGTTCAATGTAAGCGAAATAGTTATCGTACCAATCTGTCTGTCTGTTTATCTGTCTGTCTGTTTATCTGTCTGTCTGTTTATTTGTCTGTCTGCTTTTCTGTCTGTCTGTTTATCTGTCTGTCTGTTTATTTGTCTGTCTGTCTGTGTCTCTCTCCCTCTTTTTTCTCTCTCTCTCTCTCTCTCTATATATATATATATATATATATATATATATATATATATATGTTTCAGTTTAGGTCAACGCATTTGATTTTGTTAAAGAGGCGAACCCCTAACTCACTTGAGAGATTGCGTCAAAAAATCTTTCTTAACCCATTTTTTCAAATATCTCAGATTAACCCTAAACCTAGAAATATCTGTCTGTCTGTATATCTATCTTTCTATCGAAATTTGTTCTTCTCACTTTGTTCTTCTCATTTTGTTCGTACTTTTTTGTCTCTCTCTATCAATATATATATATATATATATATATATATATATATATATATATATATATATATGTGTGTGTGTGTGTGTGTGTGTGTGTGTGTGTGTGTTGTGTGTATATATGGTGGATGTTTTTGTTAAAACTTCAGTTTTTTTGTTGTTAGTTATAAATGAATGCAGATGGAGACCCAGTGAATTTAGTAAAACTTTTTTGTGATCTATCGCTTTCAACAATACATCGATTATTAGGTTTTGAAAAACATTTAACAATTAATAATTGCATTTAACCCAAGAAAGAATTTTGATTATATTTCAGGTGTTTGGCATTTTGAATGCTAAATGTATTTTGAAAATGTAAAAAAAAAACGATAGGATTTTTAATCTGATCATGGCATACCTTTATCCAAACTGGCATTATGCATACACACACATTCATATATATATATATATATATATATATACGCACATATATAAGATTGTCTCTGCCGTCATTTTGGGCGTATTAGGGTCTCAACGTTTCAGAAGTGAACCATATTGACTGAATTGTGGTGGTAAAGGCTTGTGCCTAACAATACAGAAAAATAGATCTCAAAATGTCCCACCCGATCCCCAAAGAGATTTTCCTCAGATTTTGAATTCACAATTAACTACTTCAAAACTGTTTTCCAACCATGCTTAAAAGTGTGTAGTCTGTCATCTGGTGAAGAAGAGGTTTTTGGCACGGAACAAAATGATCAGCGATACAAGTTCGATTTCCGATCGAGATCGTTACATTTACTTTCGCAGTTATACTCCTGGGAAAAGTGATATATATATATATATATATATATATATATATATATATATATATATATATATATATATATATATATATTAAAGTAACCTTCTTTTGATGTTAGCGTTTATATTGACTTGAGAAAAAAGTGTTGCATTTTTAACTTTGTGCGTGACCCATTTCCCATGAAGATCAACATTTAAATTTCAAATCATGTTTTTACTTATACAGAAATATTCATGTCAGACTCAACCATGTTAGCTAGACACACACACACACATATATATATATATATATATATATATATATATATTTACCTTCAAGTTTCTGAAGTTCGCGTGAGCGTGAAACTCCGGTTACGACTAGGGCCATCCTTTCATAGAATTTAACGTTGTCAAGCGTTTTTTGCGCGGTCGAGGTAACCTAAGCCTTGTGCCCTTTCCTGAGTAAATAAGTTTCCTTTTAGGTCTTTTTTTCTCTTTCTTTTTTCAATATTGTCACTTTTATTTGAGACTGTATTTAAAATAAGAGTTTTAGGTTTTGGCATGTTCTCCGTTGATTCCACCAACAGTTTCTGTTTTTCTTTAATATATATATATATATATATATATATATATATATATCAATTCGCATATCTGCACACCTAGCCGAAGTATTCTCAAGATCCATTAGTGTTTTTCTTTTCTTAAAATTGTTTTTATTTAGTTATTAAAATACTAACATTAAGAAATGGCTCCGGGAGAGAACTTTTAACTTCGCCGTGTAAATATTTGAGTTTGTGTAGGATTTAAGAAAAGACAGCACTATTAATATAAATCGAACTAATTCTACTCTTTTTCATTTATGTCTTGAACAATTGTATAGCAAACTCTACTTATAGTCAATTTGATCCTCACTCAGTGACGTTTGAATTACGTCTTGTATAATCATTTTTTTTAATCTTCAGTACTTACTTTATTTTTCCGTTAGCAAGACCTCTGATCTGAAAGTTTTGAGGAGCATGGACCACCTCTTAATTGCTTTTTTCCCCAGGTCTACTCTGACCTTTGGTGGCAACATCTGTTAGGGTCAAAGCTAAAAAAAAAAAAAAAAAAAAACAGCGGTCAAAACATCATGAAAGTATAAAAATAGATTTTTATAGTAAAAATACCTGAATACATTTTTTTTAATTACCGAACAATACATTTGACTCTTGACAAAAGCCTTCTTTACAAAACTATGTCAATGAAATCTGATCTACGGACTCGTTTCCTACAAAGAACACATATTCTATTCATACGAACATAACCTACAAATCTTGCCGACATTAAAGAACCCATTGTGTTTGATATGCAAAATAAACCCAAAATCTTGTTTATTTTATTTTGTGTACAAGTTCATACACAAAACCAATAGAAATCATTAAACCTAACACAAAAAAGATACAATATATCGATCGATTGATTCGTTTTTTACGGCTTATCAACCTTTTTGCCGGTCGACGGGCGGGGTCGCAGTCCGGGCGCGCGCCGGCCCGACCTGACCGCTTGGTGGACGTCGCACCTTTGCCTTCGTCGTCGCCGGACGCGCGTTAAAACATTCAAGAAATCGAGATCGAAAATCGAATTAAACCTGTCGATTATTGTCTGGTGATCGTTGGTAACTTTTGCGCACAATTTCGGTTGCCGATTGTATAAAAATATTGAGAAAAGCAAAGTTTGTTACACGAAACGGATTCACCGCTAATTGGTAGGGCAATGTTTCAAACTGCAGGACATCGCCCGCGATTAACGCTCCTCGTAGCCGCGTAGACGTGGGTAGGTAGGCAACCCTTGTTCGACTACAGAACGACTCCCTCAGCGCGATTCAACACTCCTCGTGCGCACAGGCTGTCCTCAGAAAATATTCTTAGATTCTAAGAAGAGAATAATGGCTTAGTGTTACAAGTCTTACTAATTAATCCATAGTTGGGTGTTAGAAGATGTGGATTCATACCTTTGCCAACGGTATTTAGATGTAAGTGAATATAATGAACCCAATGATAATTGGAAATCGGCTCTCCGATTAACAATTCCAGGCCATTATCCATTACACCAACCGCACATCCAAGCTTACAGTACCTGATCTTCTCAAGTGGCTACCCATCTTTATACTGACCAAGCTCGTCATCGCTTAACTTCGCTGTAAGTCACAGATAAAATATAGATGAAAACTTAATGCAATCGTCTTGCTTTTTCACACTTGATACCTTCAGAAATGCTATCGCTAGTTTCTCGTTTATCCAAATCAACAATCAGTAATTTCTCCACTTCTTTAATCATCTGAGATTTGTTCAGTAAGAACTGTCACTTCTCTTTCAACATCGGCTAACTTGATTGTCTCTTTAAGAGACTTGAAGCAAAAGAAATGTGGTTCTACAGAAAGATACTGAGGATACCATGGACCGAATATGTGAGCAACGATAAGGTTTGGGAGAAAATAAAAACCAAAAAGAAACTTATACTTAACATCAGAAAGAGGTAGTTGAAATTTCTGGGTCACGTAATGAGATAAGAGGGTTTGGAAAATCCGATACTCACAGGACAAATTGAGGAAAAGAGGGACAACGAAAAGCAGCGCGTAACATACTTGATGGACACTATTTACGTTATCTCAGAAATATAGACAGATACTTGATGGGCTTGAGTAAATGGATGGTAGAACAGGGTTTGGGAGAAATAACAAAGAGACAAAAGTTATTAAGAGCTACAAGGGACAGAAAGATGTGGAGGGCCATGATCACCTACATACTGAAGGGACATGGCACATAAAAGACAGCTCGTTGATTTTACAATATAAAACTCTGTAGCAAGTTTAGAGACACGGGCGCCATTTTCATGTTTGTCTAGGATTTTTCTTTCTTCATGGCTATCGTGATTCGGGGTCATTTTTTTCTTTTCACTTCGCTGCTATTATTATCCTTCTTTGTCCCCATGATGTCTTATTTAATAATTTATCTAACATAAAAAGCAAAAAAAAAGAAAAATCATAAAAACACCAACAATGGAAAACCAATACAAGGCACGGTGAATTTGAACAGGGATCTATATGGAGGGGAAAAGCCACATCACAATTGATGCTCTCCAGGTGACACTCCCAAATTGTCGCCCAACATTGTGGCCGTTTTGTGTGTTCGTAAGCCGAGTCACCGTTCGTGAGCCGAGACGTTTTTGGTTCGGAAAATCTGAACGTGAACCGGTTTGTTGGTGATGAGGGGTCGTTCGTGATCCGAGATTCCAATACATACATATATATATATATATATATATATATATATATATATATATATATATATATTCTTTATATCAATAAAACCGTTATTAATCACGTAATTAAAATATTTTTCATTTTTATTCCATTATCCATTATTAGTTTAGTTTATATATATAATAATAATAATATATATATATATATATATATATATATATATATATATATATATATATATATATATATATAAAAGTGAACATAGAAGTCAACACTTAGAGGCGACAGTCTGTTTCATGCTATATGCAATCGTCAGGCCATATATATATATATGTGTGTGTGTGTGTGTGTGTGTATGTATGTATATATATATGTGTATGTGTATAACTCTAATTGGGGCTTGCTGAAGGTGTATATACGCATATATTTTTTTATTTATATTTTTTACAGTAAGGTTTGCTCTGTACAAGGCTCGGGGGCCACTCGTGGTAGAGTGTTACGTTAAGGGGCAGTTTATATTTATATGGATAGGAGAAGAGGATAACGGTTAACCCTAGACTTGAACAGCTTAAGATCGCAGT